GGGTCGGCAAAGCCACCCCCGGCTGCGGCAGGGCAGGGGCAGGGTTTGGTGGCTTCCTCTGGCAAAGGCAAAAATTCGTGCCAAAATTCTCAACTTCTTTCGTAGCCGGAGTCTGGCAGAGACGTAAGTGCGTAAGTGTTGGGAGGACCCAAAGCCAGAATCTCACGGCCTTTGCTGCTTCGGACAAACTTAATTACCTTAATGTCTGCAAGAAAAGAAAAGAGGAGAAAGAGTAAAAAAAAAGAAAAAGAAGAAAAAAAAAAGACATTCCTTTTCATGGTTCGAAGCTCTTGTTGGGCACAGAGTCAGGCTCTTTACAATGGGCATTGCCAGATGGGTATGGGCTGGGGATAGGAGAAATTACCCACAACGGCAAAAAACTGAGCACTGAAATCGCACAGACCAGGGTAACAGCTCGTACCTGGGATAAGTCTAGTGTTAGACGTTACTAATCCCATGCTAAATTACAATTTGCCATGAGCTCTGCGTAAAATCCTTGGCAGTGGGCACAGCTGATAGTATGGCGGTTTGGAAAAGGTAGTAGGCAAAATAATTTTTTTTTTCTCATTTTTAGGATAGTGTTCACAGTGAAAAGATCAAGGTACGTTCCTTTTAAGCAGCTTTTTTTTTTTTTTTTTTCCCCAAAGTCTTAGGGTTTGTAGTAGGAAGAATAAACAGTACATCAACTTTATGAAAAGATCTAAATTTAGATTTTAATGAAGCAAAGTGCAGAGATCTCATTGTGTCAGATTAACTCCCCCATGCCCAAAGGATGTGCGTGTGTGCAGTAGGGAGGTTTCTTAACTTTTCTGTGCAACGCTCGAGCAAATGACCTATGCAATATAGAATTTTTACAGAGCAAAATACCTTACTTCTCTCCGTAAATTAGAGAAAAAAAAGAAACACTCGACGGGCCTGCTGCGATCAGGAAGGTTTTAAGTGTATTCAGGCTTGGAAAAATTGAGAAGGTGCATTTGACAGGCAGCGTCATCCTCAGCTTGAAGATATCCACCCTGTTGAACACATGCACGTGCTCAACTTTAAATAGATGAGCGATTCCTGGAAACGTTTCTAGCACTATCTTTTTCTAATACCCAGCAGATACCCAGTAGTCAGAAAAGCCACAAACTCAACGCCCCAGTCGTATTAGGCAATTAGCTAAACATTTGTGTAAGAAATTAACTTTAGGCAAATGACCAGCTCCAGTCTGAAAAATCAGGATCTGAACCAATTACCTTTAGATTCTAACCAGACGAAGTCACTTGGGTGGGTATCTGCAGGATCAGCGTCTTTTTGGCACTTTATGGGCTGGGCTTGGAGAACTCGGGACGTTACCCTGCCACAAAGGGGGTGACAGAGGCTGGTCCTGGGGGGCTGACTCATTTGTTTGGTGCAGCCTCCAAAGTGCATCTCACTTGGGTGTAATTATTGGAAAGAACTGATTTAATACACATAAAAAAATGCATTCCCTTTTTTTCCTTTTTCTTACCCTTTTCCTCCACCTTTCTCCCTTTTAGCTCCTGTGAAGTATTTGTTCCCTGCTACAAGATTGAAGTTCCCCAATAGGGCTGCTAGCTGCATCTCAAAAAACCAAAAACCTGTCCCCTGGGAACTGCACAGGGCCCCCGCTCCTTTTTCGTAAGATCCTTGAATTGCATTATTTTGCTTCTGACACAAATTTACTCATGTCATGTGCCCAATTGCAGTTTCTTCTGAAGTTATCCATGGCTTTATAAGCAGAGACACGGAAACACCAAGCAATGTCACTTACTTACTTGCCACCTGAGAGCATAACCCACCGCTGTGGCTGTGTCCAGCCCCAGCATCTTCTCCCTCTGCCAAGGCCCCTCGGCTGTGCTGAGCTGTGAGGGAACAGGAGCTGCTGCTGGTCCCTAAGGCCAATGGCATCCTGGGGGGCATCAGGAAGAGTGTGAGCAGCAGGTCCAGAGAGGTCATCCTGCCCCTCTGCTCTGCCCTGGGGAGGCCCCATCTGGAGCACTGGGACCAGTTCTGGGCTCCCCAGTTCCAGAAGGACACGCAGCAGAGGGCTACAGAGGTTATGAGGGGCCTGGAGGATCTCCCTTAACGAGGAGAGGCTGAGGGACTTGGGGCTTTTTAGAAGAGAAGGCTGAGGGGGGATCTGACCAATGCCTATAAATACTTAAAGGGTGGGTGTCAAGAGGATGGGGCTGGTCGGTTTTCAGTGGTGCCCAGGGACAGGACAAGAGGGAATGGGCACAATCTTGAATATAAGAAGTTCCACCTGGACATGAGGAGGAACTTCTTTCCTGTGAGGGTGGCAGAGCCCTGGAAGAGGCTGCCCAGGGAGGTGGTGGAGTCTCCTTCTCTGGAGACATTCCAAACCCACCTGGACACGTTCCTGTGCAACCTGCTCTGGGTGGACCTGCTCTGGCAGGGGGTTGGACTAGATGATCTCCAGAGGTCCCTTCCAACCCCATGTGATTTTGTGATTCTGTGCTCCTCAGCCCAGCTCTGCTGGCGGTGACTAGGACTGTGTGACACAAAGCCAGTGTGTGGATTAGCAGCTAGTTTGGCAAAATGGTTCAAAATCATCCTTGAAGGCAGGTGGGAGCAAGGAAGGACCTTCCTCAAGCTGGTCAGGTGAAAGAGAAACTGCTGGCAGCGCTGGGGCTGTCAGACTCCTACGACCTCCCAGCCCCACTCAATTCCCCTCTATCTTGCTGGAGGTTTCCTCCCCCTTAATTGGGCACCGTGCAGAGGCTGGATTTTTTGTAGCTTGAGATAGGAAGAGGTCCCACCAAACACACACAAATAGTCTTGGCAAGACTCCAGCGTGCCTAAACCAAAGCCAATAATCGTTTTCCTCGTCACCCTAGATTGGAAGAAAATTGCTCATAAAATCGCGTGTTACCATCTCTGCCTGGTTTTGGTACTGAAAGAGCTTCCCCCTCACAAAGGGGGGATGCTTTTCTTCTCTCCTATGCTTAAGATTAGCTTTGAGGAGGCCTGCTGGGCCCTGACCATGGGGGATGTGATGATCAGGAGCATCAGGACTATTCCCTCCTCCTGGTTAAACATGATGAGACATGGTTTTGAGAGCAGCATCCACTTCCCCCAGTTACAGTGTATGAATATGCTCTGGAGAGTGACAGCTACTAAAAATGTTCCCCTTTGCCCTTTTAAATACTTGCTTGGTTGCCACATGCACATTTAAGTCTGAGATTTAAGTAATAGCTGGGAAAATCTCCCAAAATGTCTCCTAACCCGTTTTGCAAGGAACAGAGTGTCTGAGTGCTGTGAACACAGCCTTTTCAGGCAAAAAATGATCAGAATTGATGGCAGGTTTGGGTCCAGTTTTATTATAGCCCATCATGCACCTCCCATCCTGCTGTTTCATTTCCCCTCCACCCGCAAGAGTTACTGATATTATGGTAAATATCACTTTACAATTATGCCTATCTAAAAAAGGATTAAATAATGTGCTTAGACGTGAATCTGAAATTTCCACATTATAGCTGTGTCCAGCCCTTTCAGAAAATCCCGCTTCATAATAAGTTTTGTTTGAAATTTCAATCTTAGCTTAGAGATAGGATGACTTTGCAGGCGTCCAGAGATGTCATGCACTCAGCACGAGGCTTCTACAAAGACACAAAGCTGATAAGCCATATTCGGATAGCGCGGATGAACCCTTCCCCAGCTGAACTGGCAGTAGATCCATCAAACATGAAAGAGCAGAAACTGCAGACTAAGGGCGTCTGTTACCCTGAACCAGCTTGCTTTTTTTTTTTTTTAATATTTCATGCAAGAGCAGCAGGACAAAAATAGTCTTTATCACCAAAATACGTGTAACTAATGCCCCTCATCCAATATTAGTGAAGTTTGTAGATGTTCTGTGGGTTTGCTGGCAGAGGGACTGTTTCCCGTTAAAAATATCTGGTTTAGAAGTGATATGTCTGCCTTGTTTGACGAAATCTGGTACTCTGACTCCTCTGTGTGTGGAGCCAGAGGTGCAGGTGATGGACCCTCCACAAAGCGAGCAGTTACGTTGGCAGTTTTGTAAATCTCTGTTACGGTACGTCCGGTGAGGACAAAGGGGGTCTGGTGCCTTTTTCACCAGGAGTTTAGTATTTTCAAGCTCCCTGCGTGTGGCAGCAGCCAGGGTGACACGCTGCAGTTTGGGGGCTGCAGTTGAGTGGGCTGGCGTGGCTTACACAGCACCGCTGGCCACGGGAGAAGGTATCCCCTGCCTTTGTATCTGCTGCCTGCACAGCACACAGAATCACACAGAATCACACAGAATCACACAGAATTGTGGTGGTTGGAAGGGACCTCAGAGATCATCGAGTCCAACCACAAAAAAAAAAAAAAAAA